GGAAAGAGGGTACACTGGGGACTGTTGGGCTCTGCCTTGGCTGGCCTTGCTTGCTGCTGGGGTGGGGAGGGGAAAACAGGGAGGGAAAGAGGGTACACTGGGGACTGTTGGGCTCTGCATTGGCTGGCTTTGCTTGCTGCTGGGGTGGGGAGGGGAAAACAGGGAGGGAAGAGGGTACCACTGGGGACTGTTGGGCTCTGCCTTGGCTGGCCTGCTTGCTGCTGCTGGGGTGGGGAGGGGAAAACACGGAGGGAAAAGAGGGTACACTGGGGACTGTTGGGCTCTGCATTGGCTGGCGTTGCTTGCTGCTGGGGTGGGGAGGGGAAAACAGGGAGGTGAAAGAGGGTACACTGGGGACTGTTGGGCTCTGCCTTGGCTGGCTTGCTTGCTGCTGGACTGGGTGGTGGGGAGGGAAAACAGGGAGGGAAAGAGGGTACAAGGGGACTGTTGGGCTCTCCCTTGGCTGGCCTTGCTTGCTGTTGGGGTTGGGAGGGGGAAAAACAGGGAGGGAAAGAGGGTACACTGGGGACTGTTGGGCCTCTGCCTTGGCTGATTGCTTGCTGCTGGGGTGGGGAGGGAAAAAAAGGGAGTGAAAGAGGGTACACTGGGGACTGTTGGGCTCTGCCTTGGCTGGCCTTGCTTGCTGCTGGGGTGGGGAGGGAAAAACAGGGGAGGGACAAGAGTGTACAATGGGGACTGTTGGGCTCTGCCTTGGCTGGCCTTGCTTGCTGCTGGGGTGGGGAGGGGAAAACAGGGAGGGAAAGAGGGTACACTGGGGACTGTTGGGCCCTGCCTTGGCTGGCTTTGCTTGCTGCTGGGGTGGGGAGGGGAAAAACAGGGAGTGAAAGAGGGTACACTGGGACTGTTGGGCTCTGCCTTGGCTGGCCTTGCTTGCTGCTGGGGTGGGGAGGGGAAAACAGGGAGGGAAAGAGGGTACAATGGGGACTGTTGGGCTCTGCCTTGGCTGGCCTTGCTTGCTGCTGGGGTGGGGAGGGGAAAACAGGGAGGGAAAGAGGGTACACTGGGGACTGTTGGGCTCTGCCTTGGCTGGCCTTTCTTGCTGCTGGGGTGGGGAGGGGAAAGCAGGGAGGGAAATAGGGTACACTGGGGACTGTTGGGCTCTGCTTGCTGGCTTTGCTTGCTGCTGGGTGGGGAGGGGAAAACAGGGAGGGAAAGAGGGTACACTGGGGACTGTTGGGCTCTGTCTTGGCTGGCCTTGCTTGCTGCTGGGGTGGGGAGGGAAAACAGGGAGGGAAAGATGGTACACTGGGGACTGTTGGGCTCTGCCTGGCTGGCTTTGCTTGCTGCTGGGGTGGGGAGGGGAAAACAGGGAGGGAAAGAGGGTACACTGGGGGACTGTGGGGCTCTGCCTTGGCTGCCTTGCTTGCCGCTAGGGGGGGAGGGGAAAACAGGGAGGGAAAGAGGGTACACTGGGGACTGTTGGGCTCTGCCTTGGCTGGCCTTGCTTGCTGCTGGGGTGGGGAGGGGGAAAACAGGAGGGAAAGAGGGTACACTGGGGACTGTTGGGCTCTGCCTTGGCTGGCCTTGCTTGCTGCTGGGGTGGGGAGGGGGGAAAACAGGGAGGGAAAGAGGGTACACTGGGGACTGTTGGGCTGCCTTGGCTGGCCTTGCTTGCTGCTGGGGTGGGGAGGGGAAAACAGGGAGGGAAAGAGGGTACACTGGGGACTGTTGGGCTCTGCCTTGGCTGGCATTGCTTGCTGCTGGGTGGGGAGGGGAAAACAGGGAGGGAAAGAGGGTACACTGGAATCACTTTCAACGTACGGGCTCATTTGGAAGGAGAGGGAGGAACGGGGGTGGGGTAGGGGCGGGGGTGTGATAGGAGTACTAAAGCATACTCACTTTCAACGTACTGGTCCAAGAACAGCACTGTCGTGAGGGTGCCTACTTTCTTCCCACCGAGCCTTGGCCGTCGCACGTACAAGTCGAAGTCGTCGTACACCCAATTGCGCCCATCCGTCAATGCGTCGTTGCGATACGCTTGAATCATGTCACGAATGTAGCCGTTCCTGTACTTGTCAGCTTTCAGAACCATACGCACTATAAAATGCTCTTCCGGCTCATTGAGGCCTAGGGCCTTGCGCAGGGCCGCCTCTAGGCGTTCGGTACTAGGCCACATTGTGAAATCAGTGACTGGGTGTCAAAAAACATGATATCAAGAGCCTCATCCACGTGGTCCTGCAGGAGAGCAACAAAAATTGTGCACAACATGGCAGAGTGGGAAAGAGAACAGGGGAGGGAAGGGAGGGCGTGAATGTATGTGGCATGAGGAGTTTGCGGGGTGGGGGATGTAGGCACCCAATGCTAATGTCATTTGTAAGCACGGCGAAGGCTGAAACGAAGGGTTGCTGCTCACCTTAAGGTCCCGTTCACATCCGGGAAAGCATCTAACGCCGTGATGACGTTATTGTACCACCCGTGTTGCCGTGGCGACATTGCAGAGCAGTCGATGGCCTGTCGTCTGATGTGTGCCTTTGCCACAGCACGGCTAAAAGCGGCCTGCGTTCGTGGCCACACCACTGGTGAGAAAATCAGGGTCGGTGTTGCATTTGGCTGGGTGCAAGTCGAGTGGTTGAAGGAGCAAGCTGGGGTGCAACCGGCAACTGTCGGGAAGGGCTGGGCATGTTGGCCCTGGCGCTGATCCATGGCATGACTGCCAGCATGAGGGCCTTTTTGCTGAGGTTGCTGATTCTCCAACTCAGCTATGCGTCGCGCCTGTTGTCGGATTTGCGCTTGCGCGGCCTCAAAAGCGGCTCGCGAAACCCTGGTTTGTAGCAGGCCGCTGTCTCACCATCATGCTCAAACTTCATTCTCGAAGGAAGTCATCATCGTCGGAGCCTTCATCCGACCCGCCTCCACATGTGATGGTCCAGGGTCTGGGAGAGCGGACTTCTGTTTGCGCACACGGAGTGCCCATGGAGTCCAGACGGCTGCAATTGTGCAGTAGGGGGGCCACAGCGGCAGCAGGGGGTGCAGAGGCTTGTGGGATGAGGCCGGAGCCAGGCTGACCTGAGCTGGTTGGGTTGCAACCCAGGATTGATATAGGAGGGCGAGGGTGAGAGTGCACTGGGAGCAGGTGGCAGGGAGGTCGATCCAGGTGCAACGGCGGGCCTGGACTGGCCAGGAACCGAGACGTGCACATAGGCAGCGGAGGGAGAGATCCGGGTAGCAAGCTGATGAGTCCCCGCCGCTGCGTTGACATAGGCGGAGGAGGAGGAGAGATAGTGGCGGCTGCGGCTGAAAGGGAGGCAGAGGCGGAGGGCAGGCCAGGGACTGACTGAGTGGCGGCGAGCTGATGAGTCGCCGCCGCTGCGTTGACATAGGCGGAGGAGGGAGTGATAGTGGCGGCTGCAGCTGAAAGGGAGGCAGAGGCTGAGGGCAGGCCAGGACTGACTGAGTGGCAGCGAGCTGATGAGTCGCCGCTGTGTTGACATAGGCGGAGGAGGGAGTGATGTCAGAGGTCCACTGGTGATCCCCGATTGATCCTAGGGAAGGGTTACAGGCACGGTTGCCTGGGGGGTTATGGGCGCACTGACCCGCTACTTAAATAAGCCCTTTTATCCCAATGGTCTAGTGGTTGGGATTCTGAGATGGTATCAGAGCGAAGGTCTCGGGTTCGAATCCCGGTGTGTGCACTTCGGGCATCCCAGTTAGGGGGGGTGTCAGAGGTCCACTGGTGATCCCCGATTGATCCTAGGGAAGGGTTACAGGCACGGTTGCCTGGGGGGTTATGGGCGCACTGACCCGCTACTTAAACAAGCCCTTTTATCCCAATGGTCTAGTGGTTGGGATTCTGAGAAGTGATAGTGGCGGCTGCAGCTGAAAGGGAGGCAGAGGCGGAGGGCAGGCCAGGGAATGACTGAGATGCGGCGAGCTGATAAGTCGCCGCTGCGGTGACAAAGGCGGAGGAGGGAGAGATAGTGGCGGGTGCAGCTGAAGGGGAGGCAGAGGCGGAGGGCAGGCCAGGGATTGTGTGAGAGGCGGCGAGCTGATGAGTCGCCGCGATGACATAGGCGGAGGAGGGAGAGATAGTGGCGGCTGCGGCTGAAAGGGAGGCAGAGGCGGAGGGCAGGCCAGGGACTGACTGAGTGGCGGCGAGCTGATGAGTCGCCGCCGCTGCGCTGACATAGGCGGAGGAGGGAGTGATAGTGGCGGCTGCAGCTGAAAGGGAGGCAGAGGCTGAGGGCAGGCCAGGGACTGACTGAGTGGCGGCGAGCTGATGAGTCGCCGCCGCTGCGTTGACATAGGCGGAGGAGGGAGTGATAGTGGCGGCTGCAGCTGGAAAGGAGGCGTTATGTGCATGTTGACCATTCTCTTGAGTGTATGTGTCTGCTCCACAACCGCCATCACCAAGTGCATCAGCGCGGCCTTTCTTGCCCGTGCGGACGAAAGTAGAACGCTTCCCCTTCCGCACTTCTTTAGGTTTCCTCGCACGGGTCTGGCGCTTAGTACCACCCGTGATCGACACATTGTTCAGCGACACGAATTTCGAGCCTGTGGCAAAGGGTTAAAAAACAAACAGAAGTAGCAATAAGTACATTTTGTAGAGTAAGTCGTTTGATCCGACAGTGCGCAGGGCACATGTTCATACGAATGGCTACGAGGAGTGAGACGTACCTTCAGCAAACACGTCGTCCTCGGGCTCGTCTTGGGCTCGTCCATTGCTGTGCATCGGGATGGCTTCCGGAGAGCCAAAGGTACCCACAGCCGGGTTTGAGGTAGCTTCAGCGGCTCTTCTAGGAAGAACTGCAGCTATGAAGGGACTTGGCACGGGCTGCATTGTGAAACTCAGGAATTGGCAGAGAATCGGTTGATTGGCCGTAGGGATATCTGGTAAGAACTAAACTAATATGCCATAATCTCACCTAAGGTACCAGATGAATAGCCTAGAAACCCGGGCACGTAGGAAGCTCAAAAGGAGGCTACTAATTTTCCCAGTTATTAGAAAACTAGGAATGGCGAAAGTAACACAAGGAGAAAGGTGTTTGTTGCTGGGAGAAAGAGAAAGCCTGGGTGGATGGGATGGTCGAACGGGATGGGATGGGATGGTCGCGCCAGTTGCGCAGCATCGTCCAAGCTGCAGAGTTTATCTCACGGTCGACGTGTGGGGCGCTTTGACAGCACATCTTAGTGTCAGATCGAAGTTACGTGAACTCCCTAAGGGCGCGCCCTTCTAGTTCGTTTGGATGCGGCTAAAATAGATTGTTCACGTTTTACCAGCGGTAACAAACGTTTTTGGAAGGTCGAGATGGGTATTGAGCGCAAAACCAGATGAAGAAAAGCGCCCCGTTACAAGGTTGCAGTGTGAGATCTTTTAGTGAGTTGCAAAAAACATACAGCCTTGGCTTTTGTTAGACACTTGAACTATCATATACTGTTGCTGGTTCTTGCGCACGATTAAAACCGTTGGCAGTTTAGTACTCCCGGTGCAATTAGGGTTTTGGTGTGTCCAAGGGTGAATTAAAATCAAGACACCTTGTCAGGGTGTAATATGTCACGATATCGCGTAATCGCCATGTGTAGTCCGTTTGAAAACATAATTTTGGCCTTGATAGGCTGCTGTTCAAGGTGAATCTACACCAGTAGTGCATGGCACACCCGCGACACGCATAGTCGTCAGGGCATAAAGGTTACGTCCACTATGAATGAATTCAGTCCGCTTATAATTTTTTACATAAAGCTTTTGTATAGATGTACAGCTGCAGGGTTGCGATGGCATGTACTAGTAGACTTTCAACAAGGTGTTGCGATCAGAAGGTGGATCGTGCCTATAATCACGTCAGCAAGGTTCGCAAGATCATAGTATTGCAACGGAAGTTTGTGACCTCAGATCACAGTGAATCTAGATGGACACAGTCGATAGAAACAAGCTCTTACTTTCATTTATTTATGACTACAATTGAATGCGAAACGTACTAGCTATCCATGTACTCTATGAGGTACTTTCCCTAATCCAACTTCAAATCAACCGTGTGTCGCGTAAAGTTACAAAACTTTTTCCGCCTTTGTCGTCGCTCGTGCAGCTACGCAATGTCGTATGTATTGATTGGAAATGTCCACGCTCTCGCTTGAACGTAGCAGACTGCGTAGTCGGGGGCGCGCATAAGTCGACGTAGACTGCGCGCAGAAAGTGTTAACGCGAATGGAGCGTTGGCCCCGCCCTCGCTTGCGCCATGCCGACGACTTGGTTGGGGGAGTAGCAGCCTACTGTGCACAGTGGGACAGCTGCTCGTCAGGCTTCGTCGAGCTGCAGGGGACGACTGTGTTGTTGCTGTTGACTAGGGAGCTTGATAGCTGCAACTGACCGGTCTGGGCGACGGGTGGGCCGTCGACCAGGTGGGGCAGTTCGACCGAGAGGTTGACAGGGCAGTACGTCGACCTGTGGTTCGACCGGGAGGTCGACGGAGCAGTCCGTTGACCTTCAGTTTGACCGGGAAGCCGACGGAGCAGTCTGTCGACCTGAGATGTACGTGGCAGTCGACGATGGGAGCTCGGCCCCGACAGCTTACACTTCTGGTCAACGGAAGGGGTACGTCGACCGGGGTGTGGCTAGACCGGTGCTGTGGTCGACCAGAGCACCTGGTGGTCGACCAGAGCACCTGGTGGTCGATCACGACACCTGATCGACGAGCAGAGCACCTGGTGGTGTCCTGGTTGACCAGGTAACCTGCTCGACAGTCGCAGACAATAGCAGACGGATGCACAGCAATGCAAGTCGGCCCAGTCGTCGGGGCGCATCAGTGAGCCTGCGGACTGCTGTCTTCTACGGGGCAACGCTGGACAGCAGCTCTGCTGCAGCGTTGGCACGCCGTTGACCTCCGTGATGGTGCGGCTCCTCTACCCAACGGTGGCAGGCGGTCGACCAAGTTGTGCTGTCGGTCGACCAAGCCGTGCTGGCGGTCTACCAGGCGAAAGCTGCTCGACGGAGCATTCGTCAAAATACTCTACGGAAGTCTGGCGGCTGCGAAATTCGTCATGTGGAGGTAGAGCAGTCAACGATCGAACTCACGCTAGTTGTTGTCGCTCTGCACTGTCAGGCCAGAATTGAGCAAGCTGCAAGCGAAGGCAAGGTCGAGCCTCATCGAGGTGGACGCGAACTGCAGCAAGCTGACCTTCTATCAGTACTCTGTACGACTGTACTCCTTCGTCGTGTTGCTTGAGCTCAGCGTTGGTGTCGACGGCGACTGGCATTTTCGGCACTCTACGCAGCTTGTCGCCTGAAGTTGCTGGTGAAGCCACAGCTATCACGACCAGGTGGGACTTCTCGCTGGTGACCTACGTGGAGCACCCCCCAGCTGAGAACAGCTGCGAGTCAGGTGCACCGATGTCATGTGGGTGCAGCGCTGTGCAGCAGACTTGCTGCAACGTTGGCACACCGTGGACTTGCAACGTGGGCAAGCCGCTTCTCTTCAGGGCTGGACCGGTGCGAGCTATGCTCCGCTGGATCGCGGTCGACCGTGCTGCGCTGGAGGTCGACCGACTTGCTTGCTAGCTCTGATGTAATCATTGTTGCCAAGGTTGTTGCTACCATTGTTGTCGGCTTTCCTTAGTCAAACACTGGCAAAATTTCACAAAGAATCTGTCAACTCGTGTGCGCCCAATGGAACGACAATGGAACGCAGAGATCACATGAGCACCCGTGCCTAGCCCGCAGTCTAACGCGCGTTGATAAAGTTATTTCCGCTCCGGTCGGGCCGTAGGTGACGCACCAAGGATCCCCTCATCGCCGGCGGCCTAGGAGGATCCGTTCCATGAAACGTCGACGACGGGCGGTGAAGGTGATGGCAACAAAGTCACCGGTCGGGGCACAGTAGGAGGAGAGAGTTTGACTTCATTTATGTCTGCATCATCGTGCTTGTCGCAGTCGGTGAGCAAGGGAGGCACATTCGAGGACCCATCTGGCGACGGGCCAGACGGCTGTAGGCTGCACCACCAGCACACCAACTTGGAAGTCGTCTGAGTCCATTTGAGGGTGGGACTATTTTACGTTCACCATATGAGGCATGTGTTATTTCGGGTATTTACTCGCACGAATAGTCTTGCGATTGTACCCACTTGACACATCCGAGAAAGGGTCCTTTGAGCATTGACTCGTCAGAGATGCCTGGAAAATGTACAGGTATGCAACGACGATGAACAATCATATAGTTAAAATTTCAAATAATGTTTGTAAGGCAATCAAGGGTTGTTATGAGAAATACCAGCACTAGAATTGCAACATTCGCCGCATGTATCGCCACAAAGTCAAATTGTAACAAAGTGTAATAATAAGAGAACATGCGTAATAACTTCATCTCACCCCACAAGTGGGTTGCGCATGGAAAGGAATATGGTACCCTAATTTTCGGCGACTTAAAGAGAAGCTATCGCACGGCCTGTCGATCCGTTTGGCCCCTATTGATAACGTGAGGAGGTTGTCGCCTACTTCTGCAATCAATAACATAGCTTGAAAGACAATGCCGCGGTGAAAATAAGGGTTTTTTTCACAAACATGGCAAACACATGTAGCATGAGCTAACCAGGCCATAGTATTAGAGCATCTAGCATGTTGTCTCTGCTGGGCTCTTATATAGAGTGTGGCATGTTCCACTTTGTTTATTAGGGGTTAGGCTAGATGGATTTGTCTCATAACAAACAATCTGAGTCTACCTGAGCCACTCATCTCATATGCACCATCTCCAGCTGACTTGGTGGCTCTAGTTCTCACAAAATGCATGCCAACAATCCACCCCAATACCACTTGACCATGGAATTTGATGCAACTTGTGCTTTATATGATCAATCCTCACATGTCATATGGGGTCTTGATGGCTGCATCCAAACAAAATCACTGTTAGGTGATGCCCAGCTAAGCAAATTCCTATCCACTTGTGGTCACTTCCATCATGTGAGGGGCACATGAATCCATCCATAATATCAACAATGGGCAACTAATGATACCTCCCACAGTCATCACTGTTCAACTGCAGCACTTGACAGCATTACTGATGGTGTGCATGGACAGGAGTGCTGCAGCATTAAGGTGGGCATGAATTGCCTTTAATGCCATTGTATTTTCCTGGAATTTGCGTGGCCTTTTTTCTAGCATGAGATGTAGGCGTGAATTCCAATTCCTCTACCAGTTGAGTAAAGACATTCCCCACCACAAACATTCTCTTCCCAATCTTGCTCGACATTCTTCACGTCTTAGGTGAGCCACCCTCCTACCCGTTCTACTTAGCTAATGGTGAGTCGCCTATCACTGCTATTCCGCGTATGTTACTCTAGAAGCAACTCTAAATATCCATCTCAGCTCGTTTGCCAAGCGGTCCCCGAACGAACGCGGCTCGTATCATCTATTCCGTTCAAACCTGACTCAGTGCCGCACCCGCCGTCATCGCCACCAAAGGAGTTCTGTATCTAGCAGCCCGAGCTTGTGACTTCCTTTTCGTAGTAAAATTCCATTATTGGGATGTCTACTAAAGCTCCTCGTGCAGATGCGTATCACTCGGTAGAGATCTCGCTCACACACACCTTCTGAATGTTATTGAGATTAAGCAGTCGCAATCTCATCCTCACGGTCGGGGTCTCATTCTCGCGGTCGAGATATTTTTCTCACGTTCGATATCTCATATTATCACGGTAACAATCTCAATCACATGGTCCAGATTTCATTCTCCCGGTCGACATCTC